ACCACGATAAACCATGCTGGTGGGAAGACCAGTGAAAATACAAAGACAGCAGTAAAGCCCATAGGACATTCCCAGTATCCTCTGATCAGCGTCAATCAAGAACGCTGCACTAGAAGCCAATGCTCTTATTCCCGATGGCACGTTTCACAGGCCTGACTCGAGACTGGACCTTACCATAAACTCTTTTAAAGAGTAAAAACTCCTGTCTAAGACTCTGGTTTCACATGTACGATGAGGACTAGATTCCTCTGGGATGTGGGCCACTCAAGCTAACGCACATCTCCTCGAGTACAGGTCACTGGACAAGCTCATGATGCATTTGGTTGCGGTCTCCACAAAAACGCGGGAAAGATAAGTGTTGCTGGTCTCAGAAATCAAACTTTTTTCTCCGATTAAATTCTTCACCCACACAAACCATTGCAGTTCAGGGACTCAAAAGTTCTGTGTTGATGACTTTCCGCTCGTGCACAGGTGGGTGACCAAAATAACTGTTTGATAGTTTGAAGAAAAAATGAGGCAGATAGGCTCGAAGTCAAAGCTATTACAACCTGCTGCTGCTGACTGGAGAAGGAGAGCCCAGGAGTCCCCAGGGCCAGTGCCCCTCAAAGATCTCCTGCCCCAGGTTGGAGGCTCTTTCTATCTCCACACTTTACTGCGACTCCTTTGGATATCTAAGCTCGAGGAGCTGACCTCACAGAGCTGCTGGGCAGGACAGTCTCTATAGAAATCTGTGCCAGGGGACCCAGTTGACACTGAGAGTCAAGGGTCTCCTTCAACCACACGCAAGGATTTGAAACACCAACCGAGATCTAGTGAGCGAAGCTAGCCTGCCAGCCTAGCAGATAAAACTATTCCAAACTGTGGGGCCCTTGAGGGCAAAGTATTTTCATACAGAAAGAGGTCTGTGGTAGACATCTAGTATTTTGATGTCCAGTAGCCCCCCGTTCTGATTCTGCAAACTGTCCTTTCTTTGGGGAATCCTCAGCCCCCCAGCCCATCCAGATGGTCACACCAGCTTAGTAAAATACCGTCCTGCCCTCGGTCACTACTAGCTGGCCCAGGCTGGCCAGGCTACCCAAGCAGGGCACATTGGCATCCTTCCACACAGTATTTACAAACTGGAACTAAGAAGCATGGCTAAAATTGAAAGTGTGGACACTCTTAGCAGCCACATTCCAAAATGTAAGAAAGAAAGAAAACAGCAGGGGAAGGGGAAGAATATAGTGGACTTCCTGGGCGCCCCATCAGCTGGTTTCTAGTCTGTCTCCGTATCCATCCAACCAGAGAACAAGATTCTCCTTTTGCAAGAGCTAGTTCCGCATGAGTTTCTATTATTACTGCGGAGTCTTTGCTCACGAAAAATGAGAAGTGCTCTAAACTACGGCAATTACACTGCTGTAAAGATGCCCACATCTACCAGATTGTATAAGCTCCTAACATCTACGTCATTCCTATTCATCCTTGTATCCTCCACAGCACTTTATACCTAACACACACCTGGTAAACATCTGTTGAATGTGATCTTAAAATATTCTCTGATGTTTAAAAAAAACCCAACAAACTCAGCTTCTTGTTTTACAGGACGTTTTTCTGGTCTACAGAGCAACAACCATCTGTGTGACCCTCACAGCTTTCCAAATGGGCCCACTGGGGGAGGGGAACAGTACAGAATCTCACAAAGGAGGGGTTACTAGAACAGGAAGTGCTGAAACTTGGAGTGGAAACGATGACTCTCAGACCAGAGCAGGGCGTCACCAATCATGGGACAGAACCCTCTGCTCACACAGGCTCCCCCTGCCCTCATGTGCCCTGGCCACCAGCTTCCGCAGGTTCCACCCTCACCAGCCTTCAATCAGTTATCTCCAGGTCAAAATCTCTTTTCCAGCCTGCAGCTCCACATTCTGAAATGTTTAACATACCCTTCCACTGATGTAAGGCAAACCACCTTCCTCTCTAAAGCAGACACTCCTCCTGACTCCCCCATTGCTACGACGAACCCCACTTTCCAATGATGGATTATCAAGATTACTACTGCCATAAAAGGCATACTCTGCAGTTGCTGAGGACATCATAGTACATATTGACCCAGAAAATGTTTGCAATACGTGCCCCCCCAAAAGCAAACCGGAAGGTATAATGTGATCCGTGAATGTGCGGGTGTATGTGTGCGCACACACACAGGCAGTATAATGCAGTGGATAAACACATCTGGTTGAGTTTGTCACCTTAAGGGAGTTACTTAAATTCTGAATGATTTTTAAACAATATAAAATAGACTTTATCTCGCGGACAGTATCTATCTCACAGAGAATTGAAAAGGACTAAATAAGATGATAGATGGAAAGCATTTACATTGTGCCTACACAGGAAATATCCCAAAATACTAAGTGATGATCTCTAGGTGCTAGGACTGTGAGTAATTTTTAAATGTTTTGCTTAGCTGCACTTCCCATAAAAAAGCTTAAGTCATCTCTGATTCCTTCTCATCACCTTCCCCAACTCTAATATTTAATCAGCAATTCCTGCAGATTCTGCTCCGGTGAAGTCTCTCCTACTTGATTCTTGTCTCACACTCACGGGGGCCCACCCTGCTAGAGGTGCTCACTTCTTCCGTGCCTGCCTCCAGCATCTCCTACGTCCAGCTCTCCCTCCTACACCCGGCCATCAGATTAATTCCTCGGAGGCCAGCCCTGTGCCATTCTCCTGCTTAAACCTTCCTTTGCTACTTGAGGCTTTCTGCAACCCGCTTAGCCCACCTCCCCAGCCCCTCGCCCTCCAGTTTGCAGTGTACACTCCCCACGCTACTGAACTGGAGCAGAGTTCCGCTTTGCCCCTCTCCTGACACCCTTTTCCCTTGTTGAAATCCTGTTGTCTTCTGAGGCCTCCACACTACTGCTGCTGGAAGTCAGCCCTCTTTCTGTGCGTGCACAGGACTTTTAAAAAGAGGGATTAATCCCATTCTGCCATGACTTCTAGTTATATCCCTTGACAAAGGTTTGACCTCAGTTCTTCGAATTCAATAGATCAACACAAACTATTCTGCAGATAACTCAGGCAAGAACTCCCCGTTCTTATCTTGCAAGGCCCTGCAGTGGGAGCCTTAGAGTGAGGCCTTAGGTTGGACCCCACTGCCTTAGGTTAGCAAATCTCTTAAAAAGCCAAAAGACCACAGTATGTTTAAAGACCTTGTGACATTTCTTAAAAGGGACTTTTCAAGGCCTGTAGCCATGTCTTAACTTTATCACAGCTAAATATCAGACAGACCAAAGATGGCTGTTTATTTTCCTTGGGCTTCAAATAGTTAGGCTTAGAGAAAGCTCTGGTCAAAGGCATAATTATAAGGTTGTGGCTTGTACTTCAGTCGCACCAGGAGGGACCTGGAAAAATACTTTGGGGAATGGCATGTTGACTCCCAAGCCACCACTGCAAGACTCCAGAGCATGTTTATAAACCAGAGAGAGCCTCAAGACAGGAGTGGCCCTGAGGTTTTCCTGTCTCTGTTCCAGCATGGAACGTAACCCGAGATGAGTCTTCCTATTTCACCATCTTATTTATGCTACATCCAATTTCAGACTGTAAACATACTGGATGTAGATTTATCTAATTAAAATGCTGCTCACCAGCCGTGCAATGCTGGTGTCGATTAATGTTTATTAATAAATAAAAATGGCTGGCTTGGAATTTAAGTCATTCTCTAAGAAGCTTAGAAAAGCTTTTCAGAGAGAATTGGAAATCACTTCAATGCCAGCTACGGAGCGTGAGACAATATCTAACTGATTAAAAAGTGTTAAGGCTGCTTTTCTAGATTTAATTAAGTCTTAGTTTTCAGAACAGATAAGCTCCTGAGGATAAAAGGATGCATAAATTGAATTTTTCTAAACAATCTCTTAATGCACTAGATGCATATTTAAAGGATTCCTATGATAAATTTTTTGGCAAATTTATTCTTGGGGAAAAAAACAGCTTTCACATAATAGATTTCCTTAATAAAGTATCTATCTGCACTAGGAGAGGGAAAGAGCTGCACCAAGTGAAAGGAATGAGCAGATTCTAAAAAGAAACGGGGTGTGTGTGAGGGGTGTGATCAGGGGTCAGCAAGAGGGTTAGAAAGGAGGAAGTTTTCTGTTCTCTTCTAGCCGGGCCTAAGCCTGGTGGAGAAAGCTCATTGTCACCTAAATCCCCACCCTTGCCCTGCTTTTGGCGTCACCTGAATCGTGTGTCCTGGTCCACAAACACCTAACGTACTTCCCAAGGACTGAGAAAAACTAAGTCCCATTGTTTGGAGCTCAGACACAACCCGAAGAACCCACACGGGCTTCACCCAAACAGGGAGGGCACCACCTCCCTATCCCTCTCAAGCCGGTTCGAGGAATCAGCTCTACCGCGCCGAGGGGTTCAGGGTAAGCGCTGGCTTTCACGGCCATCTGTGGGCCGGAGCCATCCCGCCGTAATCGGATTCTGCACGCGCCGCCGAGGACGCGGGGGAGGAGGGCCAGGGCTGTTCCAATCTGCTGTCTACACGCGCGCAGACAAAAAGCTGTCCTCTGCAGGGTAGGAAAAAACAATCGCACACAGCTCTTCACCCCTCGGGCGCAGTGAAAACCTTTCCCAAACCGGGGAGATCCGTTCCACTCCGGAGAGGGGTAACAAAGCCGCCCCCGCCCCGAGGCCGGGCGCGAACCCCACGCCGCGCCTCCCGCCTCCCAGGTCTCTGAGCCAACGAGGGCCGGACTAGGGGCGCCCGGTCTCAGAAAACTGCCTTTTGAGAGTGAGGACCCTCCCGGGCGAGGGTCCCATCGTGGGCATACGGAGGACAAGTAAAAGAGGGTAGTTGAGAGGGCAGTGCCCCTCTTTCGGAGCCGGCGCCCGGGCAAAAGAACCAGAAAGGGGCGGGTGGGCGCGGAGACTTGCAGAGCAGAGCGCGGGGCCCGGCGAACTTTCCCGGGACTGCGAGCCCGGACGGGAAGAGCCCCCCAGCCCGGCCCGCGGAGCCCCCTTACCATCTCCTTGCGGAGCAGAGCCAGCGCGGCGTCCAGGTTGGGAGGCTTGGCGGGCAGCGCCGCGGCCCGAGCCCCGCCGCCGCCCGCGCCCCCGCGGCTCAGCTCGTCCTGGATGCGCGACTTCTGCGCATACAGCCGCTCCAGGTGCCGCCAGCCCCCCGACGCGCCGCCGCCCGACGCCGAGTGCAGGAGCCCGCTCAGGCTCTTGGGCAGCGGGGGCAGCCCCTCCACCCGGAGACCCCGAACCGCGCCCGCCGTCCCCGGCGCAGCCCCGGCCCCGCTCATCGTTGCCGGCCCGGCCACGCGCCCGCCCGCCGCCGCCGCCGCCCCGGCCCAAGGCTCCCCCGGCCCGCCCCCTTCCCGGCGGCGCCCCGCCCCCGCCGCCCCGCCCCCGCCCCGGGCCCCGCCCCCTCCCTGCGTCCCGGCCCGCGCCCCCTCCCCCCTGGCGCCCCTGCTCCCCTCCAGCCCCGCCCACTTGCCCCCTCCCCCCCATCCATCCACTCCCTGGCCCACCCCCGCGGCCTGGCTCTCGCCTAACCTCGCCCCCTATGTCCCCGCGCCCTGCCCGCCGCCCCCGGCTCGCTTCCAGCCTCTGTCGGGACTTCCCCTCACCTGCCCGCGCTCCTCGAGGGACGGAGCCCTGTTCCGGCGGTCCCACTCCGGGGAAGGGGGGGCTTGTCGACCAACCCCCCAAGCTGCTCGTAATTGACGAGAGGGGCCCACTTCCCGTGCGACCAGAGGAGGCCGGCTGGTGCTGGGGGTGGAGGTACAGAGGCTCCCGCTCTGGCCGGTCAAGACCTCGGAGAGAAGGTCGGGCAGTGCTGGCGACCCTGTCCACAGTCACTGTCCCCGGAGATCAGAACCTCACCGGCGGGGTGCGGGCTGACCAACGGGGAGGAGGCCGGGCTCTGGCCACAGGACCCCCAGCTCTCCCCGAGGGCGGAATCCAGACCGCCTCCCGTTAAGTATAACCGGCCGCCGCGAGGGCTGGGACGTCCAGACCCCGGCGACTCGCTCATTCCCTGCAGGGCGCGCTGGCCTTCGCTGTAAATGGCAGTGTCCAGCCGTCCCAACAACAGCCGAGAAGAGCCAGGTCCACTTTGGGAACTTCAAAATGCGAACAAAAGTGTCTTTCCGCCTGACCGTGAACACAAGAGTGATTTTCAATGGAAATGTTAGGAAAGTAGAGAAAAGGATTACATCTTGGCAACTGTCCATCAACTCTGAGGTAAAAATAAACACGACTCACACCTCAGAGAGGGAGAGAAAAGAGAGAAACAGGCTCTGTCCCTTCTCGGAGGAATAAAAATGACAGACGATCATAACCGCATTAGAGACTGAAGAGGTGAGGAAGTAAGGACTGATTTGCAGACACAACCCCACCGCAGATTAAAAACCAATGCAGTGTATACGGAGTGGATAACTTTGATGTCCACCGAGTCTTGGTTTTAATTGTGGAAGAGATTTAAGTGTTCTAAATACATTCAATAGGATCATAGTTATAAACTCTTCGGAGCACTTCAGACATCCGACATGAAAGAGCTCTGCATTTTGGGGGCTTTTTCCCCTTTAATCTACCACCCCAATGAGCCCACCCCAAGTCTCTGATGGACCCTTACAACTGGGTGAGACTGACATGCAGCAGCCCCAGCACAGGCAGTGTGATTTGAGGGCATGCCGAAGGCTTTCCACCACACCAACGGCCCAGAATTTTCCACCTCATCACTGTGCCTCCTTCCAGTAATTACCTAGTCACATTTCCAGATTTCAGGTATTCCTTCATTTGCCTATTTAAACAGTGCGTGTCTTCGGGAGAGTTACAGATATACTTGTGTGGGTGTAAGGGCGAGGAGGGGATGGGAAGCATTTTGATCTATCATCCACACCCTGGCATGATTTCCCTTAATTTCAGGTGTCATGTTGCTGTCTGACCTGCAGTACCCAGCAGAAACCGCTGAAATTAGGTGATAGAAGATTTGGTTATGTGATGATGCAAAGAGAGGAGAAAGAATTCCAGAGCATCAGGACACTGAAATCATGTTAAAGCACATAGTTGAGAGGAGTGTGGATGACAAGAAGGGAGGAGAGTTACGGCCAGCTAGATAGCAGCACAAGGCTTCCGGTGCCAGGAGAAGAGACAGCTTGGATAATGCCAGCCCCACAATTTTAAAGGCCAGCTCTGTGTTCTGGTATATACTCAGTGGAGTGAACATGTTGAAATAGTCCCCTTTATATCAACAAATAACACCCCAGTGTAAATAGAAATTTCTACAGAATTTCTGTGGCACTGATTAAGACTATCTGTATAAATCTGAAACATAATTGTGCAAGAGCCCACCAAATATTTTGACAGCCATGGGCAATGTCAGCCAGTGCCTGCTTATTCAAAGGCTAATAGTAGGTACGTTTTAAGATTCATGCTTATAGCAGGAATGAAGTAATAGATAATTTCTGGAAAAAAAATATATTTGCCTTATTTCAGGTCTTAAACATCAATCTTCTGACGTCAAACCAGCATGAGGCCCAGCCACCTCCTGTGCAGCTAAATCAGTCTTGTTGTTCTTTTCTCTTTGTTTGGTTTGGTTTTGTTGTTCCTGGGCTCTTGGAACTCAAAAAGCACAGACTTCTAATCCAGTGCTCTATTCATTAACCCACACCTCTTCTTAGACTTCGTAGGTCAAGGTGGGGAACCTGGGCCTCGGAGCACAGACCTCAAAGTTGCCGACGTCAGATGACACTCGGTGGACCTCGATCTCGCTCTCCCAGTCTTCAGCCAGAAGCGCACTGTGAACTCATTGTGAACTTGCAAGGACTCACCAAGAAGCATTCTCATCTCCCTCCGTCCTGTCCTTCCGCTAATCCAGCCACTTCTTCATCCTCAGCTCTAATCGCTACCCACTTGGCATGTGCTTTCTGGAATGTCGAAGTCTTTTTGTGTTTTTTTAGTATTTCTAAAAGTTTAATAACTTAGATTGTTGATAGAATAGAAAGAACCTGAAAAACACATTGAAAGTCCGATTGAGCTTTCTTTTCAAAGCTTATGACCTTAAATTCTGCTAAGCTTAAAGTTTATCTTCTTGTCCACAGTAGCCATTTTTCACTTGTTGCAGGACCTAAAATTAGAATACTTTGAGAGTGATTGTGCAATGTATTTGGCCTAAATTTTAGCAAATGTATTTATTTCAAGATGTAATTTCTTGTGTTTCTATCATTTCTAAAATAAGTTGTAAATTAAAAAGTGCACAAAGCCTTTTGAAGATCTCTGTATGCAACTGTGTATGCACACAAATGGGACTAAGAACTTAGCATGTAATCCTAGATTCTTTTTTTTTTTAAAGATTGGCACCTGAGCTAAAAACTGTTGCCAATCTTCGTTTTTTTTCCTGCTTTTTCTCCCCAAATCCCCCCAGTACATAGTTGCATATTTTAGTTGTGGGTCCTTCTAGTTGTGGCATGTGGGACGCCACCTCAGCATGGCCTGATGAGTGGTGCCATGTCTGCGCCCAGGATCCGAACTGGTGAAACCCTGGGCTGCCGAAGCAGAGTGCATGAACTTAACCACTTGGCCATGGGGCCGGCCCCCATAGATTCTTTTATATAGTTTTTAAATTGTTCCTTTATCACCTCAACAATATTTAAGTTTATTTAGTCAGGGACAAGAGCAAGGCTTTTTCTGTAACTGCTGTAGCACCCAGCACAATGCTAGGCACCTTGTGATATAATAACATTTTTTTAAAAAGAATGTATCAGGGGCCAGCCCCCTGGCCGAGTGGTTAAAGTTTCCATGCTCCATTTCAGCAGCCTGGGTTCACAGGTTGGGATCCTGAGCATGGACCTACTCCACTCATCAGTCATGCTGTGGAGGCATCCCACACACAGATAGAAGAAGATTGGTGTGGATGTTAGCTCAGGGCTAATCTTCCTCAAGGAAAAAGAAGGAAAATTAGCCACAGATGTTTGCTCCTGGTGAATCTTCCTCACCAAAAAAAAAAAATAAAAAAAGAATGCACCATTTGATGTAACTTGTTGAGTTCCTACTATGTGTAAACCACAGTGCTCAGCTCTGTGATGAACATAAAGATGGATGAGGTTCAATCCATGACTTCAAGTCACTTCCAGTCCATCAGGAGAGATGACTTTGTAACAGGAGTAGGAGTCAAACACTGGCAGCTTCAGCAGGGAAAGATTTCTTGTGGGGTTTGGAAAAGGCGTAACAGAAACGTGTTCACTTCAATTGGGTTCAAAGGGTCAGGGTCAGTAGACTTTGGGTAAATGAATTCAGACCAGGGAGGGCTGGGAAGAGTCCTAGCTGGTTGGAAGGTGGGTTACATTTGGGAGGCACAGCGAAGAGAGGCTGGAACAGTGGCTTTGTCATCAGGCTGGGGTGGGTTTCAAATTGCATGCTGTGGAGTTTGGACTCTGTTTCTTGGACAACGGGAAGCGATTGAGCATTGTAAAGCAACACGATCTGAGCTTTAGAATGATCATTCTGGCACTTGCATGTCCAGTGGGTTGGGATGGAGGCAGAGATTAGAGGCAGGGAGAATGGCTGAGAGGCTAATGTATCTTTGAATGGAGAGGAAATGAAGGCTTGAATGAGGTGGCAGAAAGCAAGGGATAGGAAACAGAAATAACCGGCGTTGATACTTCATAAAGCACTTTCTCATAGATTTTTCTCATTTGACTCACGCAACCTCTGGGAGGTGATTATTACTCAGAGTTCCATCTGACAAAGGAGGAATAAGGGACTCATGAAAGGCAGTTGATTCACCCAAGTTTGCTCAGCTCGTAAGCGACACGACCTGGCTGCCGGCCACTGTCTTCTTCCTGGGGAGGTGCCAGCGGCAGAATCCACGTAACTGTTTGGTTGTGTCAAGGCCTGACCGGAGCCTGCGCTTAGAGGTGGTGGTCGAGACATTTGAAAGGGAAGCAATCACAAGGGAGAGTGCCCTTCAATCAGTATCCAGAAATGCTTTCACTCAGTAGCCCTTTGAAGTAAAGAAAAAAGGCAAAAGAGAGTGCAGAAACCTAGAAAATGCAATAGATGAATTAAAACATTTGGGAAGACTCTGCCACAAGCTTGATTTTCTGAAGTCAAGACGAAGCCCCCAGCCAAGGAGGCTTAACTAGATGATAACCTGCCCTTTGGGAGATGAGAAGAAGGAACATACAAGTTTTCAGCAGTAGTCAAATCTAGTGGAAGAGGAGATGGGAAAGTGGAATAGAGAATTAGAGCGGTGTTTGTGAAAAATCCAGGTAGGAGACTGAAATCCATGGGCAAGCTGGTAGGGTGAAAAAAGCATGAGGAGGAGGGAAAAAAAATGCTTGGATTAATCTCAGTCATTCATTTCTCCCTCCCTCCCTTCCTCCCTTCCACTTTAATCTACTACTTTGGGCCAGGCAATGAGCCAGGCTCAAATACCTCATTATTCTAAGAAAACAAATGAAATCCTTTTAAGAACGTGGTAATTATTTTTGGTAATGGGATACCAACCTCTTCTTAAACATCTGAAATGATTGGGGGGGGGGGGTCATACTTGCTGAAGCCTGCCATTCAAATGTCAAAGCTTTCTAATTTTTAGGAATAATTTTCCTCCGTGATGGCTTCTAACTTGAAAAGCCTTTAAGTGCATTATGTCACTTATTGCCACAAAAGTCCTTACTTAGTCAAAATATGCCTCCCAACTATTAGAACCCTGGTTAGCACTGCTCCCTGAGGTCATTTGAATGGCTATTTTTCCTCCTGTGCAAATAGCCAGCACATTCCTCTGAGATATCGCTCCTTCAGTTAAGCATCCTTAAGTCCTATAGCTGGTCTTCCATGAAGATATGGTTTTGAATCACTTTGCCCCTTAGTCACTCTCCTCCAGGCACATACAGTGTGTCAGGATTTTTCTTAAAATGTAGTATCCACATGTAAGTGAAAAATTCCAGATGTGTTTGATAAGTTCTAAATAGCATTGAACTGTTTCCTCCATCTTATTGTTAGCCTACTTTTTTTGAAGCTTAAAATCAAATTAAAGTTTAGGGTTGACACATCACACTTCTGAATAATACCGTACTTTAATGCAACTTTAGTTTTAACCCCTTTTCAAGTGAGTTGCACGAGAAAATAACGGTCTGTCCTCATAAGTTAAGATTTAAAAAAGACAAACAAATCATGTTTATTTAGGCATAGGACATTTCTGGAAGGACATGGAGGAAAGTGGCTCTTCACGTCCACGGAATGGCAAAGGGAAGTTCTGAAAGGGAGATTTTTAACCTTTTACATTATATCCTTTTGTGCTACAGTCATCCCTATGTATCTGCAGGGGATTGGTTCCAGGACCCCTGGTGGATTCCAAAATCCACAGATGCTCAAGTCCCTTGTATAAAATGGTCTTGTGCAAAGAGTAGAGTCTGCCTTCCGTATCCGCGGGTTTCGCATCCACGGACTGGTTGAATCTGCAGATGCGAAACCCGCAGATACAGAGGGCCGACTGTATTTCCATATTACGTTAAATATGTAATAAAATAAAAAGCATAATTATAATTTTATTCTTAACTGTATTTAGTCAATGAATAATTAAGCGCCTCTTTTCATATGAGCTACAGTTAAGCTGAAAGCTTATGTTTGTGTAGTTGGATATTTTTAACCTAAATGCAATGCTTTAGTTTATCTATATTAAATTTCATTTCGTTTTATTCAACATATTGAATCCTATCTGGAAAAGGCTTTTTGAATGGTGATTCTTTAATCTAACTTAGTACTGTACCTATCTTTCTCGGATTTATTGCATCTGCCAAATTAATAAATTATACCACTTATGGTGATAATAGTGGTAAAGCCTAATATTTTTAAGGTCCTAATATGTTCTGTGTACTGGGGTAAGCGTTTTACAGGCAGTGTCTCATTTACTCTTCATAACAGTCCTTTGAAGTTGGTGTAGGTGTAATTATTCTCATTTATGGATGATGAAGCTAAAGGTAAGAGAAGAAAATTGGCTTGCTCACACTCACATATGTAGTTAGTGGTAGAGCTGGGGTTTGAAATTAAGGTCTCTGTGACTCAGAGCAGGTATTCTTTTTTTTTTCATTGTGACAAAAAAAACACATAACATGAAATCCACCCTCTTAACAAATGCTAAAGTGTACAGTACAGTGTTGGTAACTATATGCACATTGCAGAGTGGGTGTTCTTCACCACTCCAGTATCCAAGCCGTCAGTGAAAATGATAAACAGAACAGGGTCAAGGACAGAAGCCTGTGCCAGAGATCCTCCTCCAGCATGACAACAATCTGTTGACTCACATTCTTTGAGTGTGTTATGCTGTCACTCAACTGTGTGGGATATCAAGGGCTAAGAGTGCCTAAAACTGAGCTGCCCAGTATGATAGCTCTAAAGGGCCACCAAGCCACTTGAAATATGGCTAGTCCAAATTGAGATGCATTGTAGGTATAAAATACACACTGGATTCCAAAGACTTAGTATGAAATAAAGAGCGTAAGCTATCTCATTAACAATTGTTTGTGTTGATTGCACCTTGAAAGAATAATACTTTGGATATATATGGTTAAATAAAATATATCATTAAAATTAATTTCGCTGTTTATTTTTTTCATGTGGTTACTAGAAAATTTGTAATTACATATGAGGCTTGCATTTGTGGCTCACATTATATTTCTGTTGGACAGTACTGGCCTAAAATAGGTCCTGGGATCCCCCACACCCCCAGGGGCTTACAATTCAGATATGCATATATGAAAGGGTTAAAAACAATAAAAAGCATTATTGAATAATTTAAGTAACAAAATAGAGTGCTCCAGAGTACAGGAGTTCACAAATGGGGACCATCAATAGAGAAAGGTCTTGGGAAGGGAATTGGATGTCTCTGGGCCTTTAAGGAGTTAAAGGGAATGGCTTTCTAGGACAAGGACCAACATGAGCAAAGTCTCCAACACCTTGGAGATGGGGACTGGGTCTGTGAGCAACGATAGATGACAGTCTGAACAAAACAGGTAATTAAAGCTGAGGAACCCTGCAGAGATTAGGTGGGATCATTGGCCATCAAATCCAGGCCATGGCTCTTGGACTTGCTCTTCAGCAGAGAGGAAGCATACATATTTTGAGTGCAGGAATGACGAAACCTGTGGGTTGATATTTTTTTCAAACAAAAGATCTCACATATTTATTACTGAACCAACCTACTAGTGGAAGCATAGAAACAAAGAGAAAAATCAATTTCCCAATAAAATATGTCCGACTGTCCAAATAGTGGT